GTTCATTAGGGTTCATTTCTTTCTTCTAAAGGAAAGTCAAAGGAAATAGCATGCAAGCAGGCACTTCTCAAAATGTTCAGCAAGTTAAATCAGTCAGTGTTTGGAAATTCTGTGCTAGGGCTGCAGGGAGAGAGGGTGTTCCTCCCTACCCCTTCTAACGCATTAAGTCACCATCGACTGTGGTTTAGAATTTTACGGTATCTGTTCCTGCAGCCAGAAAAATGAGGACTTCAGAGTCAGGAACAAAAAGGAAATCAATACAACGGCCAGGCTGAAGAGATAGTCTTTGGCAACTTGGAAGAAGAAACCATAAAAGAGAATGCTGTAGTATTTTCTGCCTTCAAGAAAGTTCCACTGTCCACTAGTGAAGAGAATGCGCTATGTCTCAAGTGCTAAGCAGGTTATTCTTTGGTCCTAAGCTTCTGTTTCACATTATGAGTGAACTACGCCAAACTTTTACACTGAGAGGTGAGGGACTGGGGGTTGTTTTGTTTACAAGTCAGTTACTGCAGAATCACATCCTGCAAGCAAACTTTTATTTTCCAAAACCAAGCATGAGATACTCCAGATGAGGAAGTCTTTGCCACCCCACCATACCCATAATCCATTTGTACCACAGCTAAAGCTTGTTTGCCACCTGATGCAGCACAGCCCAGATATCACACATAAACAGAGATCAGATTTTTAGACAGAGGAAATGGGCAATTTTACAACTCTTTGTAAACTCCTAGTTACTGAGCAAACTTCTGATCTAATCTTGATTACTGTTAGCTCATTAAACGGTTAAATACTTGCAGCAGCCCAGATCTTCCACAGCAATTCACTTTTCTAATTATAAAAAAAAAAAAAAAAACCACCACATTTACCCCCAGCCTTCTCTTGTCTCTAAAAGTTGATATTTCACAGGGTGCTGACAATGCTTTGTAAAAACTATAATTGACAAAACTTTCAAAACAACTCATTACTAATCTCCTCAAAAAATTAATCTTATTTTCAGGAAACTACCTAATTGCTTACTACAACAGCTTTTTTTGGTATAACCGTTTTTTTCTGATAAGACTTGATTTTCTAATGTTACTAGGCCAATTCTGACAACTTGTGTGGAGAAACTGTATACCCTACCATTTACAATAACTCATGCTTAAACTTCTTATTGTGAAGCTAAAAATCACATTCCAAAAAATCCTCCTTTAACTGCATATTAAATAAACAAGCTTAGAAAAGATCTATAACATAGACATGATTCCGCAAGTTTCCCTTCCTCTCATAGTCCTCTGAGCGAACTAATGTAGGATGTTTTCATCAACAAATTTGAGGGGGGAAAAAAAAAAACCACACCAACAACAAAACACTAAATCTATTCATAAGAGGTATTTTGATGATTTTCTTGCTATTTTTTAAAAGCAGTCTTTTGCAGAGAACTGAAAAAAACCAAAACATGACAGGTGAATGTTATCAAATGTTGCAATCAACTGAAACAGCAGATTAAGCATTGACATAATTTATCAAATGAACTACATGGCGATTTTATATTTTATGATCTATCCATATTGGCTCTTATTAAACACTCAGAAGGTAAAAGGAATCAACAGAAATTCCAGTTTTCAACTGAAACCCACACAAATATACGAGACATTTTCTTATGGTTAAGGTCACTGTTCCACCTTACCTTTGACAATCTTTTTAGCACAGTCATTGTATACTTGTTCCTGTGATGTGTTTGACTGGAATACACGGTCAAATATATATGGCTTGGACTGGAAAAAAGAGGGCACAGAAGAGCTATTAAGAAAAACAGATGCTAGAACTGGAAAGTATTTGCTCATACAGTTTAAAAGCAGCTATAATGTCTCAGCCCAATCTTTTATCTTAAGCTCTTCAAAACTGCAGCGAGGAAATCAGCTAATATAGTGTTGCCTATATCTTCACATGCTTGCCTACAAGTAAGGCCTTGAATTGAACATATTTTGGTTTCAAAACGCAATCTAAATAGTTCTTCAAACTCTGCCATATAGAATCATAGAATTGTCAGGGTTGGAAGGAACCTGAAAGATCATCTAGTTCCAACCCCCCTGCCATGGGCAGGAACATCTCCCACTAGGATCAGGTTGCTCAGAGCTCCATCCAGCCTGGCCTTAAAAACTTCCAGCGGTGGGGCTTCCACCACCTCCCTTGGCAACCAGTTCCAGTGTCTCACCACCCTCATGGTGAAGAACTTCTTCCTAAAGTCTAATCTCTATCTACCCACTTCTAGTCTTGGTCCATTCCCCCTAGTCCTATCACTACCCGACATCCTAAAAAGTTCCTCCCCAGCTTTCCTGTAGGCCCCCTTAAGGTACTGGAAGGCCACAATAAGGTGCCCTCGGAGCCTTCTCTTCTCCAGACTGAACAGCCCCAACTCTCTCAGTCTGTCCTCATAGGGGAGGTGCTCCATTCCTCGGATCATTCTCGTGACCCTTCTTTGGACACGTTCCAGCACTTCCATATCTTTCTTATAATAGGGGCTCCAGAACTGGACACAGCACTCCAGGTGCACCCTCACGAGAGTGGAGTAGAGGGGAAGAATCACCTCCTTTGACCTGCTGGCCACACTTCTCTTGATGCAACCCCGAAAGCCAACCAGATCCTGGGCTGCAAGTGTTCTGGGTTGCAAGTGCACACTGGCGGCTCATGTTGAGCTTATCCACCAGCACCCCCAAGTCCTTTTCATCAGGGCTGCTCTCAAGCCAGTCGCTGCCCACCCTATAACAGTGCATTTGGCCTTGTTGAACCTCATGAGGTTGGCTTGTGCCCACCCCTCCAGCCTGTCCCAGTCCCTCTGGATGGCCTCCCTTCCTTCCAGCGTGTCAGCCACATCACACAGCTCGGTGTTGTTGGCAAACCTGCTGAGGGTGCACTCAGTGCCACTGGCCATGTTCCCGACAAAGGCGTACAACATGACCTCAATGTACTTGATTTACAGGTAAGCCAATGCTCTCTGTACATCTGAGAATCCCTTACTCTCCTCTAATCTGGTAAACCCAAATTATTAAACACAGCCTATACCACATCATACAGAATATTTGTCTCGGTAATATTTTTAAAAAGCCTCAAACTGAAAATAAACATTCAGATCACCTACAGTCAGCATAAGAACTACTTCCCCATACATGATATCCCTAAAATAAAGCTTCATAAGCAGAAGGAAAAGGCCATTTTGGACAAAGGGAATCTTTCATAGAAGACTCATTCTGGAAGACACTGTAAGAGGAAGCTCTGACATAGCTTCTCAAAAGAAATGTTGGATTTTGCTTTGTTTTAAACGAGAAATGTTCGTAACGCAGCGCTAAGCGGAGGACAGTCCATTACAACATGAACTACAACGCTCATCCTGCAAACTTCAGGTTTCCGTAGCGTTTTCAGAGCACGATTTAGTAGGCAGCCAAGCAGGTAGGTAAGGCTTGCAAGGGACCTAGGTCAGTTAATACTAACTCTTAAGTGCTCCATTTTGCCTAAATTTAATTCATTAGCATCCTCCCCCAAAGGTATCCTGGAACCACCTCCCTGACAAAGATGCAAGTATAGCTTCCATCTTTCACCTATCCACCACATTCCCTTCCCCAGCCTGACCTTCCATGTAACATCTAATAACATCTAGAACACCACCAGACAAGGCTTTTTAGATTCAACACATCTATCTGCTGAGAGGGCTTCAATTCAGATGGACAAGCTCCCTCTTGGCAGAAATAATTACAGCGTTCACTGTGTAAACATGGTCAAGAAACCACAAGACTCAGTAGGTAGAAACTACCCCTACGGTGCTGAGGTTTATCAGGATGCTTGTTTCACAGCAGGGAAATCACAAGCCTTCTTGAATACTCATTTTACCTTCAAATACACCTCAAATTCCTATGTTCTACGGGTAGAAGTCAGCTCATTACATACACCAGAAGACAAAAAAAAAAAAACAAGTAACCTTGAGGTACAAAAAGTAAGGCTGAGAACATGTTACATAGAAAGGTAAGTCACTATAGAAGAGATAACACCAGCTATACATTTTCTTTCTCACTAGCAGCTGTAGTTTCAAAAAGCCTCAGCTTCACATCACTACACATTGCTAATCATCTACATCACAAAATGTTAATCAGATTTGTTTCATGCTCAAGTGCGTATTTTATATACGCTGAAATAATTACATTTTGGAGGATCATTTTTAATATTATGCACTGGAAAAATATAATGAGAGAAGTAATAGTGCCCAACATCACTGCGTAAGCAATTTTTGTGCTTGTACGTGAACGATTTAAACTCTCCTCCAACTTATTGCTCCAGAAAATATACAGATGATTATTCAAATAGATTTTAGAATTAGGCAAAGTTCCTGGGTATGACCTTCTGACAAGCTATGCAGCAACTGTTAACAACACTCACTATTTCTCACAGATCCAAACATACCTGATCTTTGCTCTTCCAAACAGAGCATGACAACTATGAGAACACAAAAGCGTACTACACAAAATGTTTGCATTTTAACATACGTGTTTGAATATGCACACATACATTACTGTGTATTTATATATTACTACACAATCATTTTGATGCCAAATAGCAGATTTTTCATATACTTCAAAGAAATCTAACTTAACAGGCTTAGTTTGCAGTACAAGAAGATACCTTGTTTAGAAAAAAACCGTAGGCAAGACTTATAGTCTGCAACAATTCTGCAATCCACAGGTATTTGCAGCAGGTTCTGAAAAAGCTTTCTTCCCTAATTTTTTTTTTAACAGCTTTTAGAGGGGTTTGTGGGCTTTCAGTGAACCTTTGCTTGCCAGAAGAACTTAACTGAACTATCCTTCTTTATTTATGTTAAAGAAAAATTATGTTTACTAATTTGAGAGTAATCCACAGACAAAGAATACTTTTAGACAATCTACTCTTCCATTGTCATTCAAATGCTTTCCTATGAGAACAGACAAATTACAGTATACCATGTAATTACAGACTCTATTGCTTTGCAAAATATTAATATAAAGAATGGCAGTGTGATGAATGCCACAGAGTAGTAAGAACTGAAAAGCAAGCTGCAAGGACTTTACCTGGGCATTAATGCCTTTAATTGATCTTGTTTATTTATACAGTGAAAGCTGCTAGGCACATGACAAATTCCAATTTCCCTCAAGTTACAACTACTACCAACACACCCACAAAATGTAAATACCCTGGCCAAAACAATCCTCACCAGGTGTCCCGTTTATACCACTTGTCACTTCTCCATCCCTTGCAGGTGGAAAGTGGAATATTTGTTTACATGTCCTCAGTATTATACCTTCCCAAGGGAAGCCACAATAGAACTTCAAAGCACTCAAAAACCCAATTACATATTTCTCTCCCCTCACAGGTTGTGGTATATTTATCACACCTATAAAAAACCACATTAGAGGCGTGTCCCTGCCTCATCATCACCGAATACCTAACCAAGCAAGTTTAGCCAAGCAGGTTCCAGGATAATTATGTTTTAAGAATACAAGTTCCTCCCACTCAATATGGCTTCACATCTTTGACATCTTCAATGCTATGTCTTCTCACTTCTCATTGCACTCTGCTTTCTGCCATAAACAAAGCTATAACAGTATTACACAGATTACCCTGCCCTAGAAAGCCTCCTCATTACCTTTAAGAGATTAATCAAGAAAGATTAAAGCGTCAGATATTTCTTCTCTATCAGCTGCCTTTTCTTCCCTAAATAGTAAACAATCAGGTATTACAATGAACTGAAAACACAAAAGATCCAAGCAACATTATCACATGGTGTCTGTAACAACGGTAGCAGCTGCACCACTACTGTGGTATGATGCTGTTTTGAAATACTCCACAAATTCTCAATAAGAGTTGCTCAAATTCTAATAAAAATTTAACACATACGACCTATAAGGAACACAATATCAAGCAAGTGATCAGAGCTTCTGACTTTCTCTCTCCAAACGAAGACTTCAACACTTACATTCACTCCCTGCCCAGCATTTTTTTTCTGTCAGAACCTAGTACAACGCAGCATCATCACCCATGGCTGCCCGTGGGGATGTGTCCCCACCACAAAAAGTTTGCAAGTGCTCTTACAGTCTTCTAAAAAGCACATCTGCCAATATAATTTATCAGTAGTTAAACTGAATCTTAATAAAGGGTTTATGTTCAAGTACACAGTCCTGCAGTTAACTTGAAGAGTAGTTCCTTGTTATCCTTATATAAAGGATGTTTAACCCACCTAAATTATAGAGGATTTGGAGCATACATGAGTTTCTTTGGAAAAATTAGTTTTTGTCAGCACCTTCATTAAGAACTATACAAAAATGTGCGATCAGAACTAGACCGAAATCTTATCTCTGAAGTCCAACAAACACTACAGGCTATTTCCACGGAAATATTTTTAAAAATATCTTTTTACCATTGTAACCTTACAAACCAACCAGTTCTGTAGTTTATGGAAAGTTACTCGAGTTCACCTTATTTTTTTTTATGTCTTAGTATCTGAAGTAAAGTCAGTAATGAAAATTAACTTGAAAAAATCAGTAGCCTATTTCTCTACCACCACATACCCAGATACTTTTTACTGGTTTTTGCTAGAGCGGACAGTTAATGTTATACCCATCCATGGTTAGCTTACTCTCGCTGAGAGGTTGAAACAATAAGTAATGGTCGTACCTTCCCTTAAGTTCCACAACCTTATTAAAGAACACTCTTCCCATCAACACAAAATATGTTAAAAGAAAAATCCAGAAAT